GCTGGATAAATGGAGTTTATAACAAGTGCGGGAGGGAGTTTTACATCCCACCTCCACCCCAGCTCCACCTCTGCAGCGACCCCTTGGTCACCCTGCGTGGGGGTCCTGGCCTCCTTGTCCTCTGGCCAGGAGGTCGGCCCTCGGCCCTCAGCCTCAGTCGGCCTTAAGCCAATACCCATAATCCAGAATAGTTCATCGCGCTTTGATCTTGGGTGTTGTCGTTCCTAGTGAATGTGTTTCAGGTTTCAGACTCCCACAACTTCTCACTGTTAAATGTGCTTTCTCTTAGTTCCTTTTACTAGATTCCAATACTGATACATAACATCCCTTAACTTAAATTCTCTGCTTCTGACCTTGTATCCTGTTTGCCTTTTTTAATTGCTTCCCCACATTGTCTAGAGAAATGCTTTCCAATTCTGGAGAACTCCTGTTTATGTTTATGTTCGAAATGGGCTCTGACTCAGTAAAGCTTATTGAACTTGATTTTTAACTGTTTTCTGTACTCAGGTCTCACAAATAATCCCCTCTATGTGTGTCATTTCCAGGAAGTATAGTGAGCAGAATTCAGCCTGGTATTAAATTGTTGTTTCCCTGTAGCATTCCTGTGGTTTATCATCTAATCCTCTGCAGACACAGGTGGGAATGACACTATCAAACACTCTCATAATGAGACTTCTTAGTGCTGTATGAGCCCATAGGATCAATTCAACCCACAATCCACCTGTGTAAGAGGAGAGCTGAAGTCCAGGTTCAGACACAGGAGTCATGATCACTTCTAACATTTAAGAAGTGAAAACAGTAACAGTTCAGTTTAAGAGCTTTTTGATAAGGTATAGCTAGAATGAAATATAGTCTTGGATTTGTTGCATTGAAACTGAAATATTCTGATTTGTTTAATGTTTATTTGATTATATGTATTTTTATTTAAGAATAGTATTTAAGAATTAGTTACACTGAATAGTGAAATGAGCAACCACTTCAGAAGGTACATCTAAGATTAGCAGGTTGTTGTTTTTCTTTTGAAATTGTTCTAAAACCAAATTGTTTAAAAGGTAGCCCATTAACATAAGAAATTAGTTCCATTAGCTTCTAGCAGCCAAAGAGTCTTGATGGGCCTAAATGGCCTCTTTTCATTTGTACCTTTTTTATATGCTTCTGTTCTCTGCTTTCAAGTGCTGCAAGGGCTGAGCATTTTTCAGTGAGACTCTTGTAGCTTATGGGCCTGGGTTGTTATGCATATACTGTAGATGGTCGCCCTGAAAAGGTAAGCGCTTGATAGCTTTGCCAGTTCAGAAAAGCTACAGAAGGGGAATACACACTGCCTTTCTTTCCACATCTATTTACCTCTTCTTTAAACTCTTGTAATTTGATCTTTATCTCTTGTAAGCCTGCTCACGGTAACTGTTGCTTGCCTTTAATACCTCATGACAATATGAGGCCACAGTGGGTGAAAGGGCCTAAGTATCTTTGCAGTAGCTGGTGTTCCTTCCTCAGTGAAGCTGGCAGCTGATGTTCTGTCTGCTCATGTCTCTCTCTGTAATTCTGTTTGGATAGCATATCTAACCATTACCATGTCCAAAACAGCATTTTCTTCCGAGTGGAACTTGAACATAATCTTTTTACTTTGACTAAAATGAACAAAACAAAAAAGTAGAATGATACTGTCGTGATTCATCACATTAATTCAAGCCAAATTAGTGAGGTGACGTTGAAATTAAAGGATGGCCTGAAGAAATGTGCTGTGGAACCAGGGAGACATAGAGGCAGAAGGAACAACAGCAGATCAGGTTCTTGATAATGACCATTTTGCTGTAGATCGTACAGCAACCAGTAAATTACTGTTTACAGAGAGCTTTGCTTCAGTGATGAATAAAAAACTATTTTCGAATACATGGTCTTTGATATTTGTTCGTATTCTTCAGTTTGTACTAGCAATGCGCTGGACACCTCATGTTTCCTGTCCATGGCTAGAATATTCCCTTGTATACCTTCCTCCATCGGGTAAAGACAGGATCCCCCTGAAATAACAGCAGTAAGGAGCCTCAGCACTGGTTTTTCCAGAATGGGGATAGGGGATAGCTCTCTGTGTCGGCTCGACCCGAGAAGCCAGTGAAGTAGAAGACTTGATCTTTGAAATTCTTTTTGGACTTCAGCCACTTAGTCCTGTTAACATTTATGCTGGATCCTGATCCCAGACCCCTGAGGATTGCCTTCCCCGAGCTCTTCCTGTATCCGGCTGAAGGATGTACAGTATCCCAGAATTCTGTGGGTCTTTCTCCCAATCAGTGGCAGTTCTGCCTGTTCAGTTGGTCCTTGCCTGAGAGCAGACCGGAGCTGCTTATAGGCTTTCAGGTGGCTTTTCCATGCTCCCCTCTGACTAACAGTGCAGTGTAAGTATACACCAGGGCTCAATCATCAAAGAAATGGTTAAGCACCAATCCCACTAGGGAATGTCTCCCAAGGTTAACCAGAGGGGTCCCAGTGGATTATTACAGTACATTCCTTAATGAATTATGGACCATGCTGTGCCAGGAGATGTTAGATTGTACTAATCTTAACTGCTGCCTTCAAATTAATGTAAGTATGCTAGTAAACCAGTGCAAGAATCAGACAAAGCCCTGAGTCTAAAAATCAACTCAGAGCCCCTTTTCTCAGCAATACATAAATTGGCACCTGCCAGTTATTTAGAAGTGTCACCTTCTCAGTATGAAGAATTCCTTTCAAAGGGAAACAGCATGAAGCAATGAAGCAAACTCCCAGGTGCATTTCAAGAGAAAATACTCCAGACAGACTAGTGGACAGACACTGACAGAACCTTTGATTAGTGCACAGCCCAGCAGCCATATCACCCTGCAGCTCACAACTAGCAGCCCACTGCAGCTCAGCAGGTGTGAGCCTGGTCAGTACCTGGATGGGAGACCTTCTAGGTAAACTATGGCTGCTGCTGGAAGAGGTGTTAGTGGGGCCAGTAGGGGGCGCTCACCCTGTGGTCTGTGTGGGCCCTAGTAGCCCACTATAGTGACGGAGACACTGTACTGTAAAAAGGTGCCGTCCTTCAGATGAGACGGAAAACCGAGTTCCTGACTCTCTGTGGTCATTAAAAATCCCACCAGCACCACCCTCTTCCAATGATGTCAGCGCTTCACAGAACATATTTACAGTTTTTGAAAATATTTTTAATCGAAACTTCAGGGCTCAAACTGGCAGGCACAGGGCACAGGGTGGGATCTAGCCTGGATAGGATGCCAGGTCTTCACAGGATAAATGCACTCTCATTCACCCAAACATCTCTATTCACTCCTATTTATCCTGTGAAGACCTGGCATCCTATCCAGGCAAGATCCCACCCTGTGCCCTGTGCCTGCCAGTTTGAGCCCTGAAGTTTCGATTAAAAATATTTTCAAAAAGTTTTCAAAAACTGTAAATATGTTCTGTGAAGCGCTGACATCATTGGAAGAGGGCGGTGCTGGTGGTGCTTCTGCGTGGCTCTGCAGGTGTGTCTATGCTGTACCCGGACAGGGTCTCTCTGTGTGGAGCAGGTTGCTGTTTTTTTGTGATGGGAAGTAGTCCTCTGCTTTACACAAGACAACACGGCTTTTCCTAACTGTCTTCAGTTGTCTTGTGCCGATTGATCTCCTCAGTCTGGCTTGGTGTTTGAGAGCCAAGAGGCCCAGGTGTTGAGAAGGCAGGGTTCAGTGATAACAGTAAATGACTGCTGGGGGGAGGGGATTGCTGGGACTGGGAGGTATTGTAGACAATTGTGTCACGGCAATGCCTCTTTTCTTCTCAAAGCAGGTTGAAGAGACTGGAATCCCTTTCCAGAATGTACATACAGCATTTCACATCATGTTTTATTTCCTGTGGAGTTGCTTTAAATATTCCCTTTTGTCCTGGCACCTTGTCGTTAACTTTAATTTGTAAATCATTAAAACCAGCCACCATAATATGGCTACCAACAATATCGCTTATAATTAGAAACTGAAGTGCAACATAAAAACGGTCATTTAGAAAATTTAACTCTAATTCATTTCGCCTTCTATATACTAGATTTGTTTCTAGAAGAAAAGCACTATTTGTGATCCACCAGGAATTCTGACAGATTTAATATTGCATATTTCTAAATAAAGCATAATTCTGCCTATGGCGGTATTGAGCCCCGGGTTCCACCGTTTGTAATACTAAGAGCCGAGACCTCAGTCGCATGAAAGGCCATCCGCCTGGAAGGGGTGTGTCTTTAATCAAGATGTTGTCATTCTTGTTGCCAAGCTCCTGGTTATTAAAGAGGACACATGCAGTAAATGACTCTGTACCAGAGTCTTTGGATTCCTTTCGCTGTGCTGTTTTTGAATAATGAAGGCCTCCGCTTGACCTCTGGGCTAAATTCACTGGCTATTGTGGCCAATCTGCCTGTGTGGCCTGAGACTGCTCGCACCTTGGGAGGCATCCATCTGTGTATTAATCCAGTCCACCTGCCTCAGTCAAGAGCGCGGCCATGAAAATCACCTCCGGTCGAGTGCACGATACGAAAGGGGTCAGGTGGCACCCCTCGATACACAGCCACCCGCGCACACGCAGGGGAAGGGTGTCACGCCCTCTGCAGCCAGAGGGCGCTCCTTCTCTGTCCTGTCCCTAGTTTCCGGTCTGCTGTCCTTCCTGTCCCTCTCTTTCCCTTGGGCTATATATTTCCGGGTCTTGCACTCTGCCCTCGCTCAGCATTGACGTTCGGATGTCCTGAGACCCGCCTAGCACCAGGGCGCCCCACGTCGTCCGCTCCCTGAGGGCATAGGTTTCTATACGGCATTCCTGAACTCTTTGCACTAATGATCCCGGGCCTTTTTCCCGTCTCGCCGCTACGCATATGGGTCTTTTTCCGCTCTCCTGCTCCCCACGGCTAGTCCCTTTGGACGTCCGTGACAAAGGGGCTTCTTCACTGGACGGGGAGTGTTCTCGGAGTGCCTCCGTGGCTGGGGTGCTCTCACACTCTCCCCTTTCTTCCTCAGAGGACATCCTGTGTCCGCGAGAGGCCCCCGCCGAGGTCGACATTCCGGACGGCCAGATCCCGGAGCAGTTTGCCGGCCTTCTGCACGGCTCCTCCCCGGCCTGCGAGTCTCCGGACAACCCCTACCAGCTCTACAGCACCGTGAGGAAGCTCAGCGAGCCGGAGCCCGTCTCCATCTCCAGCCCCGGCCCCGGCGGCCTCCTGCCCGCCTCTGACTCCAGCGCGCTCCTGCTCCGCTCCGGCAGCGGTGCCAAGGCGCCCAAGCCCCAGGTCGTCTACCGGACCGTCTTCCACACCAAGGTCAACCAGGCCGCCCCCGGCCCCTGCCTCGGCTCCCGCAGCGTGAGGAATGGGTACCAGCGGGTGAGCGGCGCCGCCGGGGGCTTCGAGGAGAGAGCTTGCACTCTGGGAAGGATGCGCTCCATCCCCAAGAACGTCCTGGACCTGCAGCTCTGCAGGAACATCTCCAAATCGGACTCCAACCTCATCTCCTGCTCCCCCATCGAGGAGGAGTACAGGGCCAGCCGGGTCGAGCCGGTCGCCAGCAAGCCCATCCCGGTGAACCACCTGGAGAGAACGCCCTCCTTCACCGCGGAATGGGAGGAAGTAAGTGTCTCCCGCAGGCTTCTAGGAAAAACGCCAACCCAGGGGGACCAGTGGCCTCCTGTCCTCTTCAGAAAGTAGCAGGACGTCTGCCTGAGTTTGACTGCAGAGCAGGCAGGACGTTGGGAATCGAGTGGGAGAGGGGCTGTGGGCCTGGATTCGGTCAGAGCTGCTCCAGCTGGCCAGCCTCAAGCTGTCTCGTTTATGGGATCGCAAGCAGGTGAACTGTGTAGCATCTTCTGGCAAGCTTTCTTATCTCCCAGGGCAATAAATCGTATCTCCTCTTCTTCTGAATTGCATTCACAAAAAAAATCATTATGCTAACTTTCACTTTGTAGTCTGCTGGAGATAGCTCTTGAAATAGGTGCCTGATATCATACAGTATGTTACTGCTCAGGGGCTGGTCAGTGTACAAAACAGATCTGGTCCAGATAATGAGCACATCATGTTTTCTGCTCTGTTCAGGAAGCCTGTTAATAAGCTTTCATTTAGCTTTTATATTTTGTTCTCTGGATAGGCGTATATAACACTTAAATAAATGAATTGCTTGTGCGACAGAGCGGGTTTTGAATTTAATATTAGGGTTACTCATTTGTGTTTTAAGAGGTAAGCACATCTTCCGCCCTGCAGGCTCCTACATAAAGTAATATGTAATCTGATTGTTCAGCTGACGTGACACTGAAGGTCATGTTTTGTTCCATTCTGTCAAACATTTTAAGCCGTTAGCCTTTACTTATTGTTGTGTAGTGAAGATGCCTGAAGCTACAATGATACACACACACTCGGAAAGTATCTTTCGGTTATTATCTGGAGCGCAAAAGGAAGAGAAGGCATACAGATTAGAAGCCCTGTGTGGATTTTCAGAAAACAAACAGGCACATTGGAATACCAGCGTTTACTTAAAAACTGCGAACTTTCTTGCCTTGAAAACATTAGCGAGGCACCGTAAGGATCAGGGAAGTGGGCCTCCTTCAGGCCAGAACAGCACAAAGTACTAATGCGTTCCCACTCTCTCCGAGGACACGGCCACAGAGCCCCAGCCCCTCCTGCTGTCCTGACAGCCCCTTCCCAAGGGCACACATCTGCTCCCCCTCGGCAGGCGGGCTCTCTGCTGCCCCCTGCAGCGCGGCTGGTTTACTGTACATCATGAACTCGATCCCGACTGCAGCACAGCCCCCTCTTCTGGGTTTCCAATCCGTGGAATTTGCCATTTGCACATTGTGTCATTTTTGTAACGTTCGATGTTAGCTGTTTAGTGCTGAGCGGTTTGAAGCTCTGAGTCGGTCAGTCTTCTCTCCGGTCTCTGCTTCTGCGGCTGCTCATTTGGCTCAGCCAGGTGTTTGTACTTCCGGGGGCCTCTCGGCACCCGTGGGTAAGGTCGGGGTGTCACCCCCCCAGTCCTGTTGTAGGCATCCAGCTCTCCCTGTTGCGAGGCCGAGCGAGTCTTCCTCTCCTGCGCGTGTCCGCGGTGCTACTGCTGTTCCCCGCCGGGCCAGGCGCCCAGCAGGTCCCACAGCCTTGCGTCCTCCTGGCGGTTCCGGAACAGGACACTGGAGACCCCCGGGGTGTCCCCAGAGGCTGTCCAGGGTAGGGGGGTCCCAGAAACATGGGCGAACGTTTCATCGCCATTTCACTGTCTCACGGTGGGTCTGCTCTGGCTGCACGGCTGCTCTTTTTGCCCTGACACTCAGCAGCAGGAACGCTGTGGTCATTGTTAATAATCATCGCGTATCTCAGTGTATCCAGAGCCATTTCTTGAAAGGGGGCTTTTCCTGCCACAACCTTAAATGGACCAGGGGCGTGACCATTCTTTTTATCTTCTTACGTGCAGGGTGTTTCTTGGGGAGGTTAGTGAACACCATGAGAGCCCACTGGGCTTTGTTTCTTTTCTTGGGCCACCCAGGATCATTACTCGGCCAAGATCCAGAACCAGTCATGTGACACACTTCACGAGCTGGGCCAGAGGAACTCTGGGATATGTAGTTTTTTTTTTATTTTTGAGAAAGAAAAACCCGTCATCTTTCTTTTCTTCAGCGTGATGTCAGCAGGAGGCAGGTAGTGCCAGGAATCGCCAGCTCTGCACTGTGCTGTACCTCTGAAACCTCAGGCTAAAGTAAAGGTGCAGAGACCTCTGGTTCAGAAGAGGAAAGGGCAGCAGCAGGGTTTGAGGCAGTTTCGGAAATGAGGCCTGGTGAGTCTTTGCCCGGAGCTGAGGAAATAGGGAGAAGCGTCAGGAGGGTTCTGGGGTCCTGTCTGTGGCAGCACGAGGGGTGTCCAAGGACAGGGGAGCCCCCTTTGGAGAGCCATGCTGCTTATTAACCTCTGTCTCTTGTTTCTCCAGATTGACAAAATCATGAGCTCTATAGGAGCAGGGATCAACACGGGCCTGGAAGGGATTAAGGAGGACATTCCAGGTAAATCCAGTTTCTAAAGCTACAGTAATTACTGTATGTCGGTGTGGGTGCTGGTTTTGAGTACGGTTTATCGAAATTTAGTTTATTATTGATGTTATTATTGCTTTTATAATGAGAGCTTTTGAACCTTTGACCATTTAATTCAGCTGCTGTGGTGAAACCTGCTGCAGAAGCCTTTTCCGGAACTATAACTTTTCTTTATAATCGATCCCCAATGACAGGGGTATGAAATTCAAACCGCTCCTAGTTGGCTGTACGTTAGGAAGTGTATAATCCAATATTTAGTGTCGCCATCGCAACTGGCTAAGACCCGACGAAAGGACTGCTGTGGTTCGGCAGAGGGATTTACGGGTTTGTGTTCTATCGTAAATGGGGATTAAAAAATAATTAATGTAACAGTGCACTTCCATCTTTGTATTTTGCCATTATTAGCCTCAGATTTATTTAAACAGCCTCTTTAATTATGCATAGAGAGTCGACTGCATGGAGCTGTAAGTTGTAGCGTCATTTGGAAGAGTGAATTGCATGGCATTGCAAATACAGGCCTCTTTCTGGTGTGACGTCTTGACATGTATCACCTCAGCAGACCATTTGATTGCGCTGTAAACTGCATGTTTTACTGTCTTAAAACTGGACAGTGGTTTTGAATGAAGCCTTGGAAGATGAAAGCTTTCTTTAGTGGCTGATTGTCGGCGACACACTGTTAGCGCAAAGAAGGAAACCATGCTTTTCCAGAGACAGTGAAGAGTCGCTGCTGAGAAGCAATTCTGTAGTGGCTGTTTTTAGACCAAACATAATTACTGCCGTAGCTAAAAGATTTGAATGGGTGTCTATAAATACAACACACATTACATATTTTTAATTAAAATCTAAAGGACTTTTAATATGACTGATACTAAGTGTCACAGCATAACCAATTGAGGAATTGAGAGAATATGTATTCATACAGTACTATATATAAAAGTGAAGAGGGGCAGGTTTTAAATTTCATTTGAATTATTTAGCATTTCTTTAGCTGCTTTGTGCTGTCCTTGTACATCATTTTTTTTTATTTTCACCAGTATTCTGTCAGAACAGACGGCAACACCCAGCTCTTTTTCCCACACGCAGTTCTATTTTTAAATCGAAAGATGCCACTTCTTCATCCCAGAGAACACCGCTGCTGTTACTTAATGAAATTCCATTCTGCTAATATACGGCAGGACTCGTGGATTCCAGAGACTCTGAACTGTTTCATTTTCCCAGTGAAACGGGAGGCTGTGAGGCACTCAGAGAGCCCGGAGAAGAGTTGGGGAGGGATGAGATGAGAAATCATTATGTATGTAAAAGAGCTGGGGCTGTTTCAAAGCAGCGCCAGAGGTTACGCTGTCAAGAAGCATAAAGATTGTGACGAAATCATCGCTCGGGCAGCACAGATCCGCGCCAAGATTTTCGCGATGAGAAAACAGCACACTTTTCGAATCAGATGCAACGTGTTATCTGGAGCTGTTGTTCTGGGATTTACTAAACGCCGGATTAGCGATTGTCAATGAAGAATCTGCATGTTTTACAGTGTTAATCTTGCCATCCATTTAAAAGAGGCTGAGAGGCTTCGCTTGTTGTAGCAATTAGAATAATAACTGTGCTGTCGATTTTAGGTGCTATCTTGAAACCGTAAACTTTTACTTCTCTGCCATGAGTTTTTGATTTGTCACTTAACTGTTTGTGCCGCCGAGTCTCTGGGCTGCTGTGGTGATGTGGTGCTCATCGATGACGGGTTAATTGGTTCAGCAATATCTGTTTGTTTCTCGCTGCTACTGAAACAGCAGGTGTGACGCTGCGCCCAGGGATCCTGCCAATAGCTCACTATCGGGGGGGGGGGGGTCTGAATAATTATTTTAGCCGACAGGCGAGTCTTGAAAGACACAGGTGGTCCCAAACGGCAGTCCACATCCTGCTCGCGGTACAAGCCTCCCCTCTCCCCCGCAGATAAACCCTTCAGCTCCACGCTGTCAGACTCTCCTCTCCCGTCTCCCCGTGTGCCTGAGCCGCGAGCTGGGGCAGTTCTTCACCACGCTGGAAACACCAAAGGCCATTTTACTTACTTTATCACCCCACCCTACCTTAACGCCCCCCCAAGCCCCGCAAACACACACAGACACCCCACTTCATAAACCAGCACCCTCATCCCTGGGGGGGGGTGAGGAGAGGTATGTGTGTGTGTTTTTTTTTGGGGGGGGGAGAGGGAGAAAAAAAGAGAAAAAAAAGGCTTTTGAACTTTGCTATTTTCTGCATCTGTTTTGACTGCTCTCATCATTCAAGATTGGTGCTTGGGTGGGTGTGTAGGAGGGAACAGCAGCAGCGGCAGGCTCCCAGCTCCCAGACAAAGAGATCTGCCTGATCTGATGGCTATTATCGCGAATGCGAGGTGTAGCCAGGGCTGGGTAATGAACAGGAATGAGGGGGAGCGGGGAGCGTGGTGCAGCATACTGATGAGTGTAGGAGTACTTGATAAAAAGAATTCTAGCTGCCAGCGAAGCACTGCTCACTGTGGAGTACTCAGACAGCAGAGACCTGGAACCAGCAACAGCTGACAGCGTTCAGCGTGCGCTCCCCGTGCGATCGGTGGCTATTGATAACAGATCGATGACTACAGTTTAAGATGGTGATCGAATACCGGGCAGCACCTTGAAGTGGACTACACTCCAAAACAAGATTCTTTTTCCCCACCCCCCCCCACCCACCCTCCCCTCAGCCCCCTTCCGGTTCTTAATTTCTTCTGGAGGAGCGGCGAACACTAAGATCTGTCAAGCTGGCCGGCTCTTTCGACAGCCACTTCTCCCGGAACGTGATGTGGCAGTGCCAGCTCTCCCAGCCGGACTGCCGGTGCTACCGGATAGATGGTTACTCTCTGCTCAAAAGACTCCCTCTTCACCCTCTCATAGGACCGCGGTGTCCCGTGCAGTCTGTGGGACAGTGGCTGGACAGCATCGGGCTCGTGCAGTACGAGAACCACCTGCTGGCTAACGGATTTGACAACGTGCAGTTCATGGTGAGTACAGCCCCGCAAGTTTCTCCCCTGGCACCGGCACGGGCGCGCGCTGCCTCGGGAAGGCACTGAGACGCCACAGCACTTGGGAGCTTTCCCCCTGTATGTTTGCTTTGCTGTTGTTCAGAAATGGTGACTGTGTGTGTTTTTGCCTGTGGG